GGTGTTGTGCAGTTCATGCCTTGTCTTGGCATTAGCAGGGACTCCATCGGCCGATGGTCAGTGCTGTTAGGTCAGAGCACAATTATCACGTCACGCCAGCTCCAGGCCTGCATCAGAGTGGTTAACCCTGCTCCACTGTCCTGGACTCTGGGTAGGTTCAAGGCATTCGTCCCTGTATGCTGCAACACTTGAGGTCGGTGGCGAATCCGCCTCTAAGCCATCAAAGTGTGTGGGCGGTGAGGGGATTTCTTCCCTGTTTGCTCTCAGCTCAGGAAGGCTCCTCCACAGAGATGTGTTTTGAGTTGATGCTGAGCATTGGACATCCACCTGCCGGTGGAGTTGGGGCAGAAGTGTCCTCGGTCGGGAGATCGCCCGGGGTTCTGAAGCTTGCAATAAGCCGATCATGAGTGGATTGTTGTTCTCCCACTCTTGGACATGTGCCAGCGCCACGCGGTCTAGTGGCTATCTTGAAGGGTAGGCCCGTATGCCTAAGCTCATCTGCACTAGATCAGCAGGGCGGTAGCCTCCTCAGTGGGGACCGGGATAACTTTGCCGGTCCAGGGGGGGGGGGAACGGGACCAGGAAGGCATCAGCTAACTTGCTGATTCGCAGCAGCCAGGGCAGTAAGCAAAGCAGCGGCCGTCCACCCCCTCCCTGTCTGGGCAGGCCACGTTCTCCTCGAGTCACTCTCCGGGACCCAGAATCACCTGATATCAGGCGCTCCAGCTACACCGGGGGTCTTCAGGTTAAGCATTTATCGGAAAATTGTTAGGTTCTTTGGGAGCCACAGTGATCTGCAGCCTGCTGGCATGGCGGCCAGGCCCTGCCTCCCTTAGTTTATGTTCTAAATCTGACTATGGCTAACACGTTGCAGCCCTGACCAGCACTAGCCAACTGGTGTTATTGACTTGCTAGTTTGTGCAGAGATTACAGCAGGAAGTTCGTAATGCTGTGAACTAGCAGAAAGAGCAGAAAAATCAAAGGGTGGCTATATTTTATTTTACTACATTTTCTTCATGGTGCCATTCAAAGTGGGTCTGCTCCAGCCTGTTGTGTCCCTTTCTGTGAAGGAGTTTCAAGCAGCACATATTTATAAGCGATACTAACAACATAGGATTAAGGCCACATGGCAACCAAAGGCTGGGGAGTCACATTGAAATTTCTTAAAGGGACACTATAGTCACCAGAACAACTACAGCTTATTGAATTTGTTCTGGTGAGTAGAATCAGGCTTTTTGCTGTAAACACTGTCTTTTCAGTGAAAATGCAGTGTTTACATTACAGCCTAGTGATAACTTCACTGGCCACTCCTTAGATGGCTGCTAGGGATCCTTCCTGGGTCATGGCTGCCTAAAATGTATCCAAACATTCAGTGTCTATGAGGAGATGCTGATTGGCCAAGGCTGTGTTTGAATCATGCTGGCTCTGCCCCGATCTGCCTCTTTGTCAGTCTCAGCCAATCCTATGGGGAAGCACTGTGATTGGATCAGGCCACCACTTCTGATGATGTCAGCAGACTGCTTGTTTTTTTTGAGGCAAACTGCATGCAGAGTTACAGCTTCTGGCTTGAATACAGTAAGATTTTATATTTATGGAGGCATGAGTGGCCCAGGGGGCTATACATGTTTGTGTTCCTGACCCTATAGTGATCCTTTATTTTTTGGTTTAGCTGCTAGGATTCCCTGCACTCCTCATACTTAACAAAAACAAAGTGTACAGATACAAAAAAGCATGCAAAAATGTTGAACGGGCACATGGATGACTGCAACACGAGGCTAGCACATGCAAGAGAAGACGGACCAAAGTCTTCACATTCCAGCATGGACGCCACATTGTGTTGTTAAAACTCTGAGTGGATAGGTATGTTTAGGTTATACACACAGAATTTACAAATCTGAATAGTTCAGGGGAATGTTTGGTTCAAAATAATAATTGAAATGCAAAACAGCAATGTGAACAATATCGGATTCAAATTAATCTTAAAATTTCCCATTTACACCATTTTGCTTAATATCTAGTATCTACAAACATTAACACAGTTTTCTTTTCCTGAATGTATTTATTTACCATTTTCTATCCCAGTATCTTTGCACAGACTTCAATAACATTACCAGCAAAATACATCTAGTGATTAATTACTTTGGCAAAGAAGGTAGTCTTTAGCTCTTTCGCACAAATATTACCCCATTCAATTCCTAGTTGAATTTTCTTTTCCTTTTTTGTCCCTATACTGCAAACTGTGATGGGCCTGCAAATACCACTGTGAATCATTTTGTTGGTTTTGGGAATACATGGACTGTGAAAGTTAGCCCTGTGCATTGAACTGCTTGTTGTTTACTTTGATCCAGCACTTTGCCTTGTGCTTTGTCTTGTATTCAGGTTTTTAGCTGTTCTATGCCAAATTTGTTATATGCTTCTCATAAATACCACACTATTTCTTAAATACAACACTTGCATCTCCAACTTTCACTGTATTAATCTATTTTTAAATGCATATCAGATTGACACACCCCATGGATAGCAAGCTGTGGATATATCGTAGTTACATAGTTACTTAGCTGAAAAGAGACTTGCGTCCATCAAGTTCAGCCTTCCTCATAAATGTTTTTGCTGTTGATCCAAAAGAAGGCAAAAAACCCAGTCTGCAACAAACTAGTAAGAAATTTTGCAACAAACTAGTAAGAAATTCCTTCTTGACCCCAAAATGTCAGTCAGATATCTCCTTGGATCAAGCAGCTATTACCCCACTAATTAGAAATAATATCCCTGTATGTTATGTTTTTGGAGGTATTTACCCAATTGCTGTTTACACATCTGTATGGACTCTGATCAAACCACCTCTTCAGGCAGTGAATTCCATATCCTTATAGTTCTTACTGTAAGAAAAACTTTTCTTTGCCTTAGGTTAAATCTCTTTTCTTCCAGCCTAAATGCATGACCTCGTGTCCTATGTATAGCCCTGTTTATGAATAGATTTACAGATAATGGTTTGTACTGGCCCCGAATATATTTATATAATGTTATCATATCCCCTCTGAGGCGCTGTTTTTCCAAACTAAAGATATTTACATTTTGTAACCTTTCTTCGTAACTAAAATGCTCCATTCCTTTTATCAATTTTGTAGCTCGTCTCTGGACTTTTTCTAGTGCCATGATATTCTTCTTTAGAACAGGTGCCCAAAATTGCACAGCGTATTCAAGGTGTGGTCTTACCAGCGATTTATAAAGAGGCAAAATTATATTTTCATCCCGAGAATTTAGGCCCCTATTTATGCATGACAAAACCTTACTGGCCTTACTGAGATTGCATATTGCTGCCTAATTTGTTGTCTATATTAGGTTATCCCTAATTCACGACCATTTAAGGTGTAAGCTGCTTAAGCATTCTTGACCCTGAAGTTCATACTTTGCATTTCTCTACATTAAATTTCATCTGCCATTTTAGTGCCCAGTCTCCCAATCTATCTAAATTAGGAAGGCATACAACTACTAATCACACATTAATGGTATTTGGAGGGCACGGTAAACTGCTTGAGTTGAATAGTCTTAAATAGAAGCGATAGATTTAATTAGATTTTTCTGATCATTATATATCCTTTTATTTTTAAACGAACACTCCAGGCTCCATTACTACTGTAGCTCACAGTAGTGGTTATGGTGCCAGTAGTGCCCTGATGCTGCCCCTGTATAATTTGTCAAATCATTTTAGAACAGTTTGACAACTAACGGGGTCATGTCAAGTGCAGGGGAGTCAAGTACCCAACTAAGGTATGCAGGGCAAGGTTTATTGACGGGGCGATGATGGATGGTCCTGGATCAGCAGTGCTTCAGCAGCAGGAGAAGACAGCATGGTACCTGGGGGTACAAAGGTGTGTTGTCAAACAGTTGTTCTAAAACAGTTTATAACATTACACTGTGACAGTGCCACAGTGCCAGGGCTTTCCTTAATTCATAACCACTAAAACTGTAGTGGTTATGGTGCTTGAAATGTTCCTGTTGGCTATGGTGTTTGTTAATTTCTTTATGTTACATATCTAATATTTGGTTTTGTCATTGGCACACTGTTAAACTATGCTTGTGTACGAGAATTCTCCCTCTTTTGTCTTATGTACATGCGTTTGAATGTACATATTAGATAATTAGGGGTATGTAATGCTTGTCACTGTTGCCTGACTTAAAACCATTAGTATGTGTGTAACAGTTTTTCATACTTCATATGAATGTGTTATGTGTGTTGGTGTGTAAATACATGTGCACTCATGTGCCAATAAATATCTGTTCAGTGCATATTCATGAGTGTTTGGAATGTCTATGCATGTCTATGTAAGTGTGTTAATGCATACATAGTGCGTTCCATGCATGTCATATGTCAAGACTCTCATCAAAGCTGCAGGGGCAGGACCAGATTAAGAGCCCAGTGGGCCTCGTGCTGACAAGTATAAAGGGCCTAAGTACAGAATCTTATTGACCAAAAATACTAAAACAGTCATACCTCTCAAGCGTTATGTATCTGGTGGAGATGTTGCCGGAGGGAAACACGTAGGATGCAGCTATAAGAAAAGTCAGATTCTCTTAAAATCTCTCTCTAATTCATGTTTTTTTATCTTTCAAATAAACAGCACTGTCCAGTGAAGCAGGAAGTCAATGGGCGGTGTAAAAGGGTGGGCCACTGACGCGGATCGTGTAACCAGAACTTCTGAAAGGGATGAACATGCCCAAAAAGGAGGCATGTCTGCCCAAAGAATTGAAAGGCTAGTCTGGCATGAATGCATGTCAGGCTGCCTGTCAATCATGCATGTTGGCCAACAGCATCCTGAGCTTAGCATAAATGCGTCTAACGATGCGCTCGCTCCATGCTTTCTAAGGACTGTGTTCCCATGTCTCCCAGCATCTCCAGTGTCTCAGTGTCCCCATGTGTGTTTGTGTCCCCGTGTCTCCAAGTGTCTCAGAGTCCCCAGAGGTCTCCCTGTGTTCCCATGTCTCACAGTGTCCCCTAGTGTCTCAGTGTCCCCATGTCTCCCTGCAGCCTTTACCCCATCCCTCACTTCCCTGAGCTGTAAGCTGTCTCTGCAGACTGGAAGCTGCTGTTTGGACTTTCTGTGCTGTGTAGCTGCTCCCCCGTGGATCAGTGAGTAGAGAAATGCAGGTATATGCTGTAACTTCCTATCCCTGCCTCTCTCCACACACACAGCGACCCCTACTGACCGGTGATAGTATTGCAGAGTAATCTCTGTTTATACTGAGAAAAATACCGGCATTTGTATTGCCAGTATTACTGCAATATCGGCACTGGCCAGACAGCCTCAAATAAATACCGGCCAGGTGGCAACGCTAAGAGTAGTGTGTAAACAAATAATAAAAAATATTATTATTTTTTAAATCAATGGGTTTATCGCTTGGGCCTGGGCCTGGGCCTGGAGCTGCAGCTCCATCAGCCCCTATGTTAATCCGGCCCTGTGCAGGGGAGATGACACTTGCGCCAGCTTTCACATGCAACGTGTGCACATTGATGACTTCACCATGAATGCTAATAATATGCTTAATGTGATTAGAAAAACATATTTTTATTTAGAAAAATGTATGACAACAGGCTTTATTTAATCTTTAGGGACTTTTGGAATTGTTTAAAAACACTTTTACCAGTTAGTGGGTAGCAAACATTTCTATGTCACTTTAATTTATTTCTTATATAGCGCTCTTTACAGAGTGCTTTACAATTAATGAAAACATAACATTGTAAATTATACAGAATCTAGACAGACAATATACACAAACTAAGACAAAGGAAACCTCATGTGAGCTTACAATCTAACAATTTCAGTGCTTTTAAATAAAGTGTGCAGCAAGATGACTTGGGAGATTACAATCTAAAGATTATAAAGGGGGTGGGGGTTTACACGTGTGGTTAAAGGGGGTATTTGAAGTCAATGGCCAGAGTTCTGTAATAATCTGTTAATACTGAATAGCTTGTGAGGTATTTAAAGAGACTGTTTAGGCATCATGAGGCACCATAACAACTTAATCTGATGAAGTGCCCCTGGACAGCATGTGGCTTCTGAAATTTCAGATTCGGGAAGCGTGGAGTGCCGCCGGGCAGGGGCATCACTGATTGGTCAGCTTAAGCTCTCGGCCGATCAGTGACTACACATTCACAAAACTGATTTGGAAAAGCTAAGAATGTGCCCAGGTGCCTCCTGACACCATAACAACTTAATTTAGATGAAGTAATTTTGGTGCCTTGAGTGTTCCTTTAATATTAGAGGCAGCTGAAGGAATATGCTAGAAAGAAAGTTAGAAGTGGAGCAAAGGTGGGTTAGTGGAAGCAAAAGTTTTAAAATGTTTGCTGAGAGAATCATAAATTTGGAGAAAGAATGGATTCTAAGGGAGTTGAGAGTATACAATCAGGTTTTTTTAAGACAATAGGGAGGAGTAGTATGTTGAGGAGAGGGATGGGATGAATAGCATTTGGTGTGCGACTTAAACATTTTGCCAAATAAATGAATAATGAATACGCATACACAATATGTTAGTGCTAGATAGTGGTTGGCTTGTGTAGAAAGGGTTAGATAATTGCACAATAATGTAAGTACAGCTTTTTGAACTACGCGTGCACACACGCACTAGCACACAAAGACACACACTAATATACATAAAGAAACATAGTTACACATACAGACACACACTAGCACATACACATAGAAACACACTTGGACAAATATACAGAGATACTGACATACATACACACAGGACATGGGTGTGAGGATGATGCCAAGCTTGCCCGATTCTAAGGGTGGGCCTGGATATAGTTAAAATGTGAGGGAGCAGTTTGTGAGGGAGCTGCCATTATGGAGTCTATAAGGATTTTTGTTTTTACTTTTTTTGTTGAAAAATCTAAAAATAATTTTTAATTGAGTTTTCACCTTCTTTTGAATGAACACCAGATTAATGTATGTGGAAGATTATACATAATGAACCATAGTCTTTTTTTTTTTTCAACCTAAATTACTATATCACCATGAGAAAAGTTACCTAATATTTTACTGCCAAAATTTATAAATATACGAGTGGGACAAATGGCAAGAGAATATAGCAGCTGTAAGGGCAAACTGCTGCCTGGATTGTAATTGATTTTGTTTAAATCTGAGCATAGTGAGTGTGTATACCGCTGTGTAAATGCATGCAGGGATAAAGATAATGTTAGAAGTGGTTAGGATAAAAGTGGGTTCATATCACAGTTAGATTACAAATGGTGTTTTGTGTGAAAAGGATTACAGGTTTGAGAGAGGGTTTATAGTTGTGGGATAAGGGGTGTTTAAGATGATTGAGTTTAGAGTTTTAGAGTGGGGTTAAATTTAGCATGTAGGTTCATTGCCTGTTTATTTCTTAAGAGGCGTTAAACCTGGGATTAAGGTGAAGGGTTTTCTTTTAGGATTAGGCTTTTTTTTTTTTAAATGTGGGACTAAGGAAATGGTTTGTTTAGGTTTTGGAAGGTGTTAAATTTAGGGTTAGGGAAAAGGAGTGTTTAGGGCATGTGGAGTTTGAAGGGTGATTACTCTCATATGTCTCCTGTAGTCCAGTCAGTCTTCTATGATTGATTGTTGAACTTCAGCATCTGTTATGCAGTGTGCATCCCTGCTCCTCCTGCATAGCATTTCCTGTGTGAGGGGCCATTAGTGGGCACTTCCTGTCCAGCCTCACACACAGACACTGGAGGATCTGGGAGAGCAATGAGTTTTGCATCCTCCATATCTGTTCCTACAACTCTACTATCAAGCATAACAGGCTTACTGCATTACTAAGGACACTAGACAAGTGTCCTGGTAATTACATTTCCCCATTAGTTCACTTAAACGCTAAAGAGGCATATTATGAGTGCCGAAAAAGTCACCTCCTCCAACAAACTGGCAGGGAGGGATTAAATAAATAAATATATGTATATTAACATTTACCACATATGTCCTTACTATTTTACTGGAGGCATACTGTAACTAGATATTTTAAAGGCCTTATCCGATGGGATGCGACCTTACTAGAGACTGGGCAGTTTAATAAGTAACCCTATGCATTTTGTCTTTTTTCCCCTGAATTTTGGTGAATAATTGAAGTAGATGTACACATCTTTTTCCAAACTGATCTTATAATTAATTAATCTAGATCCAGGTAAAAATATTACACTTTAAAATCCATTGCTCAGTTCATCTTCACTTGTTTCATTGCTTCGTCTGTTTGTGTGTAGACCTGCAAATCAGTTTATCAGTACATGATATGATTTACATGATTTTCATTATATGATATGAGATAAATAAACCAGGGTATTAATGTTTTTCAGCCATTTTACATGGATTAGGCAACTCCCCTCACACAAATGTCCACGTTTTTCCATTTTGTTTGGAGATGATTACAAACATTAAAAGGCCTGGCTAAGGCAGCCAAATAGTATATGTGCTTGTTTTTGTACAGGTTTGAGGATGTTTTTTAGTTACAGAAGTGTTTAGGATACTTTACATTTGTCTAATCTTTGTATGTGATACAATATGGTATAATGGCATAATCTGCCATATTGATACTTGCTCAATGAATGGTATTACTTAGCCAGTAGTAAAAAGATGTAGTAAATTGATAGCTCGTATTAGGTATAATGAGTGTTTCTGCCTTTTTCTGACACAAAAGGGTTGGTGTATTCCACATTTAACTAGTGTTTGTTGTTTGCACATTATAAGGTCACAAAACAGAGGTGAAGACTGACACAGCTGTAAAAAACAATGGAAGCTTTATTTGTAGGAAATGTAATAAAAAGTGATCAGCTGATACATAATACAACCACTGGCAGCATCCAGCAGGTAAATAGGTTATATAGTATGGAAGTAAAATCAGTGCTATCTCGTAACTCCCAACATTTCAAATGGACAAGGAGGGACACTTTAATTTTATGGGTGTCAGTGGGGGTGTGGCCAAGAGCGGGCTGTTCTGAGAAATGTTAGTTGAATTACTAATAACAATTTATGTAACTAAAATGTTAACTAGGGCACGGACAATGTATCTTATTTATACAATGATTTCCAAATATATTTATCGTAATAAAGACACATTACTGGGAATTTTATTGTGGAGCTCTGTTAGATACGCCAATTATATGGAGCTCCTTGATAAAGAGGGACATTAGGATACAAAAGAAGAGAGGGATTTGGGCCCAAATTTGGGTCTGTCCTTCCTAAATAGGGACACTTGGGAGGTATGTATCTTGCAGATTCTGGTAATAGGCAGAGAGTTCTGGTAAAAGGTACACTATATATTTCATGAAGCTCTCAGTAGAGACTATCATGTCCTTAAGTGGTTAAATTATGCCACATAAATCTATGCTCAATGTTACATAATGACAATGCTGAAAAAAACAACAGATTTTTTGAATACTTTGCAAATGTATTAAAGTGAAAAGACTGAAGTATCACATTGACATAGGTATTCAGACCCTTTGCTACGACACTTTAAATTAATCAGATGCATCTGATTTCTCTGGATCCTCATAGATGTTTCTACACTTTGATTGAAGCCACTGGTGTGTCCACCAGTTAGTTGGAGATGCTTTGAAAAGAAAAACAAACCTGTTTATACATGGACTTAAAGCTGTACCTGCATTTCAGAGAACAAAACAAGCCATGAGGCCAAATAAACTGACTGCAGAGCTCAGGGACAGGATTCTGTCAAGGCACAGATCTGGGGAGGGCTACAAACTATTTCCCTGTATTAAAGGTTCCCATGAGCACAGTAACCTCAATAATCTTACATGGAAGAAGTTTGGAACAACTACTACACCTCGAATTGAGCAATTGAGAGGGAAGGACCTTGGTAAGAGAGGTGACTAATAACCCAATGGGGCTCCAATGAGTTCCAGAGATTATGTGAGAAGATGGGAGAAACTTGCAGAAGAATAACCATCACTGTAATTCTCCAGCCCTTTATGGCACACTGGCCAGACAGAAACCTCCACTCAATGCAACACACATAAAAGCCAGCTTGGAATTTGCAAAAAAAGTACCTAAAGTCTCTGAGAAACAAGATTATATGGTTTGTTGAAACAAAGATGAACTGTTATGTCCTCAATTCAAAGTGTCTTGTCTATGGAAACTCTGGCTGGGCAGAAGGTTTACCTTCCAACAGGACAATGACCCAAAGGACACAGCCACAACAATGCAAGATGATCTGCAGAGATAAATGGTACCCTACACAAATCCAAGTGTTCAAAGCTTGTCCCATCATACCCCAAAAAGACTTGAGGCTATAATCACCGCCAAAGGTGCTTTAACTAAGTACTAAGTTAAGGGTATTTATACTTATATTAAACAAAAGAAAAAAATGAAAATCACATCAGGTTGTTGATTTGCCATTGTAACATATTGAGTGTAGATTGATGTGAAAAATATATATAATATAAACAACTGTAACAAAAGAAAGAAATATAAAAATAATGTAAAAATTGCAAAACAAAAAAAATAAAAAAAATAAAAAAAGAAAGAAAAAAAAAATTGCATGTCTCAATACTTTAAGACTGCACTGTACATATTCAAATTCCATTTGACACACACACATACTCATATACACATGTTGATATCCGTGCACACAATTATCAACTCACACACACATTTCATGTTGGGATCTATGAATACGTAGTTTCCTGCTGCTCTCTACTGACGGCAGCGCCGGAGTGATGGTACATTCTGGGTCCCAGCATTAGTACAACGCAGCAAGGGAGCTGTGCAATCAGCATAGACTGATCCAGCAGTTTCTCTGCCACCTGCTCTGCAGTCTGCTCAGTTGAATAGACAGAACAGACACTTTCCTGGTGAGTGTTCGTGCTCTGTTTTAGTATCAAACTATTTATGAATGTTTAGATGTAAACCAGGGATTTGATATAAAGTAAGGATTTGTTATAAATCAGGGCTTTCAATTAGTGTCATTTAGGTTGATTGAAATCGACAATGATAATGCATAAATGGTAATTACACCTAATTAGGGACAGCTAAATGTATATTCTGGTGTCCTTAGTCCCAGCAGACGCAGCGGAGCGTTTTGCCACTCATTCGCTGTAGCCTCCCAATGCCTTCCTATGGGAAAGCATTGACTGAGATAATCAATTCTGATGATCTCAGCCAAGGAGGCATTCTGGCGCTGGAATAAAGGTTAGTTTTAGACCTATCTAAGGGGGTAAATAGTATATTTACATTTTAGGGTCAGGAATACATGTTGTACTCCTGACCCTATAATGTTCCCTTACTGTGGCCAAATTGGGGAAGATCCCTCCGCTACAGAAAGACCGTAGCTTTATATCAGCTTTAGGGAACTTTAAGTAGTGTAATCACTACAACATCCCATAGTGGTTTTGTTGCTTAGATTGTTTCTTTATGGTAAATACATAATATTTGGTCATTTTAGGCATTAAATAACTTATATACCAAGCAGTGTTAGATCTATTCACTTTGCCGAGAAGGGAGAAACCAAGATTTTTTTTTTTTTTATCAGGGCCTGGATTTTATACGCTGCTTTACAAGGAGTTCCATTCCTGAGTTACTGTATAGGACGGTGAGTTGTACCTCTTTTCCTTTCCCCTCTCCCCTTCCCTCTTCTCTCCCCTAGTCTCAGAATGCACAGGACCAAGTGATGTTGCAAATTTGAAATTAACTTTGAATTCCCAGCAGTTCACACATTAGTAAATAATACTCTGTAGTCAAGGTGGCACATGTGAGGTTGCACAAAGCATACTCTGAGACATTTCTGGTATTTCACAAGTCAAAAATGGGCATGAACAAGGAAGCAGCACAGGGTGCAAGTGTACTATGCTACAAACAGGCAGCGGGATGGAGAAAGCTTCTACCCTATTTGAAAGGAACATGTTTAAAATGTTTGCTGAGAGAATCATAAATTTGGAGAAAGAAGGAATTCAAAGGGAGTTGAGAGTATATAATCATGCTTTTTTTTTTTTTAAAGGATCACTATAGTGTCAGGAACATATGTTCCTGACACTATAGTGTTAAACACACTATTTTGGTCTCCAACTGCCCTGTCAGAGCAGTGAAAAGGTGTTTAAACTCACCTTTTCGCCCACGCCACACCATTCTAACCTCTGCCTGACTCTGCCTTCAGGGCTAAGATCATCAAACTTTATGCGAAAAAACAAAACGCCACACTGCACCAATCAGCATCTCCCCAGAGAGATGCATTGAATTAATGCATCTCTATGGGGAATGTTAAGCGTCTTCTTACAGAGCTTGAAGACACTGAACGTAGGTCCTGCGCACTGTGCAGCACTGTTCTTGGAAGCACCACTAAGGGCTGTCTGAGTGACAGGCTTTAGACACCGGAACCACTACAATAAACTGGAGTTTTTCTGGAGACTGTAGTGTCTCTTTAAACACACTTACTTTATCTTGTTGCCAAAGATCTTGGCCTATGTTTTTATATGTCCCTGAGCCTTCATATATTGGTTTTATATTTCTGCATAAAACACATGATGTTATGCATGACTCCTAAGCAAAACATGAGCCTTAAAGGAACACACATGTGTACATTCTTAACACTATAGTGCCATGGTGGATGTTTTGGCCCACAGCCCCCCAACCTAAAGGGAGTAAAAAAAAAGTTATTTTACTTACCTTTTCTCCCTCACAGCAGCGGTCTCTTTGGGATTGATGAACTCAGCCAAATCCTTTGAAAAGCATTGTAAGCATTGACCATCTTATTGAAACAACAGAGTTTTACTGCAATGTTTTATATTGCAGGGACAAATGATGCAGGGGGTGCATGGCACCCATTGAGATGAAGTAGCCTTGGTGGCTATAGGGTCCTTTTAATGTGACAGCTATTTACTGCCTGTAGATTTGCAATTTATAGAAGTGAAAAGGTTACATACATCCAGGATAGAGGAGAAAATGTGTTATTTATTCTAAAAAACGTTTTAGTACTTATGAAAGAGACTCCCTGACAATCACGCACACTCTGTTGGCTGTGATATATGGGAGTACTTCAGAAATGATATAGTCAGGAATTCACAGGTCTGTTTTCAGTTGCCTGTCTCACACAGACTCCTATTCACACTCTCACAGAACTAGAGAGAACTACTGTGTCATTTGTCTGAACGCAGCAGAAAGTGACGTTCTAATGGCGAGGATAGAAGGCCTTATTCGCCTCTGCTGTGGAGCCACAGTAACAGAATGTATGGTATGAGTGAGTGACTTGCTGTAATTTTCCAGATCAGTGGAGAAAATAACCTCCTGATTTCTAATAGTGTAAAAATGCCCTTGATTAGTTGCACAACATTCTGGCAGTGAAATAGTTTGCATAATGAACACAACAGTTTTGTAAATAAACTTGAGCTTCCTCGCACAAGACCTCAATCGAAAAAGACTCAGGGGATGAAATATCTCTGTGTTTTTTAGGACTTGGTCCAGCCATGTAGCATTATCTACGAACCCTTCAGTTATAACCACTGGCAATAATCCTGCAAGAAATTAGTTATTTCTTAAACATCTCTTGAAACAGCTTATATTGTGTATTCGTGAGGAATGTGTTATGTAACATCCTTGAAACCTAACAAGTTTGCAGCGTTTGAGGACCAAAAATGACACCCTTGTTGCAGTGTACTGAAAGTAAATAGGAAACGTGTTTTCGAAAGTGATCGTGTTATGACAGATTCACTTTATGTTAGAATTTAATTCAACAACAGATATGTCATTTATTATATATTGCATTTCTTAAATGTTATCAATCACATATTTATCCCATCTCCACCGCTAACACCACCACCATGATCCAGGGTTAGCAGATGTTACACGAGTGCAGCGCCCCCTACTGGTTCCCTTCTACCTCTCACCTTTTCTCTGATTGGCTACAGTTTTTCAAAAGCAGGAAACAACTACCCTATTATGCTTTAATGCTGCCTTCATAGCTGTGACATGGGCCACTGTTTTTTTGTGATCGTCTAGAATTTTTTTTTTAGACAGCAGAAAAGAAGGGAAAATAGAGTAAGAGAGATAGAAAATGGATGAAAAATAAAAATTAGAAGAAGAGGGAGAGGAAAAAAGAAGCTAAGCGATCTAACACTGATGAAATTATAAGCATGTGGGGGAACAAGCTTGTAACAAATTTAACACACATAGTTGCCACATGGGGTATTCCCCTGTGAGTTTGGCTTTTTAATCAAAAAATATTGTGACATAGTATCCAATATATGGTTTACAAAGAAAGGATCCAAAAGTTGAAGCTAAATCTACAAGTCATGTTAAAGGGACACTATTGATAACAGAACAACTAGAGCTTAATGTAAGTGACTATAGTCAGTCTCTGCAGGTTTGTTGCTGTAAACATTGCCTTTTTAGAGGAAAAAGCTTTAGAATCTCAGTCTTTGGAAAAGTCTAAAATCTGCCTTTATAGTGAGAATTCAAAGTAAATGCAAAATGATTTTCAAATTTAAGGTCAAAGTACTCAAAATGGCAGCATAGCTAGGTCAGAGATTTTTTTCCAGTTAGACTTTTTTGACCTTAAATGTAAAATTCACTTAAAATTTTCACTTTAGTGAATAACCTTAATAGTTTTATCCAAATATCATACAGATTGGAGCAAACACCTCCAGAATCACATTTGGTAATACTTTGACTAATGGCTGGTAATTCAGTTATGGACTCTTGACCTAATTCTGTCCTAGACACCAAGACTCCAAGTAGTGACTTGTATTGTGTTGTGTGATGACCCCCTGTTGTGATTACTCCTATATAAAGCGGTGGTTCACTCAATAAAATCAGTTCTACTTCACCCTTCACTAAGTCTCGGCTAGTGTTTGGGTGAGACAGCTATACAGCTATACACTCTGCGGGAAAGAGTGATCACTTGGAGCTGTAAGAACCATGTTCCAGGGTGGGAACTTCGGATAGACCCCAGACAAGCTACGGTGGCTAGGGGCTGAAGGATGTCCCGGTAGCTAGGAAGCGAGCCAGGCGGTCCATCACAGATATTTTCGCCTAAATGTGTAATTCTTTAGCCAATTAGTGGTATTTCCAAATTTAGTGAATTGATCTGACTTTCTTCACAAGCCTTTGTTGGCTAAACTACACAGTAGGAGAAATGAACTGAGAGCACTGAGCACACTACGTAGGGCTTCTTTGCACATTCAAATAATTCTGTATAGTACCAGTGGTATACCTGTATTTACAGATCTCATATAGACATAATTACATTCTGGTGGCAAGTTTAGAACCTACATTCCAAATTCTTAAGGTTCCCTTTAAATATACATACCGGTAAGTATTGTATTTTATATTTTTTTATTCAAATAACTATATTTTTGCTATTTCTGCATCCATGCTATTATTTCACACTGTGTATATGTAACCTATAGAAGGATTTATAAACCTCCCATATATTATGTGAATGTGGGCTGGACCTGCCTAAATCTATATGGGATACCACAAAGCGTAGTTGAGAATGACAGGGCTTAGATTCTGTGAGACTTCCAGATCCAGACAGATAAGCAAGTTCTGGCCAACCAACCTGACATCATGAACAGAACCCTACAGTTGTGGTGGATGTGGCAATACCCAGTGACTATAACATCAGGAGGAAGGAACATGATTAGGTGGACAAATACCAACAGTTGAAAGAAGAGCTACAAAGGATTTAGAAAGTGAAGGCAGTGGTAGTCTCAGTTGTGATAGGAGCACTTGGGACTGTGACCCCAAAGTTCGGAGATTGGCTTCAACAGATTCCAAGTGGGACATTGGAGATCGCTGTGCAAAAAAGTGCAGTTAAAGGAACAGCTAAGATACTGTGCAGAATCCTCAGACTCCCAGGCCTCTGGTAGAGGACCAAAGAATGAGAAGTATGTACCACCCAGGAGGAGTGTGGTGAGAAAATAAATATATATAATTTTTTTTTTTTACAGAAAAGCATAAAATGTACTAGCTTTTTTTTAAGTAAAATTAACTTGATTGTGAAAGGATAGCATAAGAAACATGTTTTGTAATGATACATTCAAACTTGTATATTATTGGTCATCTATGTCCTTATGAAAGTGTATTACTTTGTAAATTAGTACATTTAGTAATGTAACATCTCCAATATAAAAATCTGGTCATTACATCAAACATTTCATTTTAAAGCATTTGTTATTTATAGTTTTACATTTTATTATTTTTAGCTATTGTCACTTAAAATCAGTAAAATGACATTACTACAACCAGTACACAAAAATCCTGTTTAATAAAAGCTAGTGCATTTCTCTTGCCTGCTTGTGTATAAGTAGAATCTGTGTGTGAGTACTTTTCTCTTATCTGTGTGAATGCCTGCTTGTGTATAAATATCTGCGTGTGTGTAAGAATGCCAATTAACAGATTACACAACATTATTGTCTGACACACGATTTGCAAACATTCCATCGATCACTCGACAGAGCAGCTGCTTCACACAGTGTTCTGCTAACTAGGGCAAAGCACAACACAAGTGCATGTATAGACACTCAAATGCTGCACTTGGGGGCATTTCAGCCCACATATTAATGCTTCATCAGGCCATTCTCCAACCCCTCTGTACCCTTGTTATTTACTACACTCTGTAGGTCTGCACTGATTTGCTGAAATTTGTGGGAGAAGTAGGAGGAAATATGTAATAATAATTGTGTATTTATGTATTTGCTTGCATGTTAGCAGGAGATTTTTACTATCCTTTTTATATGTTAGATTTTCCTGTTCAGTACCATTAAAGGGACACTCCAGCCCACCAAAGCACTTTAGCTTGCTGAAAAGTTTGTGTGTGAATAGTGTATCCTCTTTTTTTTATTTTACAAAAAGTGCAGATTTCAAAAGAGACCAACACTTTTATAAATTAACCTAGTTACACCCTCTCCGGCTTTCAATTGGACAACAGGTCCTGTTACTTCCTGGTTGTTTAGCTCAGTGGAGCTAAACTCATTAGTCAGCAATTGCCCAGAGCACCTGTCTTGAACATACTGTTCATTGAGCTGCATTGGGAAGTCTGTTATTGGACAGACACAGAAAGTCTGGGTGGGGTAGTATGGGAGGTCTTGCAAAGGTAGCAAACAAGAGAACTGCAGCTTTTTCAAATTGTTTTTAGATATACTCGCAATGAAAAAAAGCATAACTAAAACTTAAATACATGCATGTTTTTGTTGGAGGTATATTTACTAAACAGTGATTTTTATTTATTTTGTTTTTGGGCAGTGGAGTGTCCCTTTAAATGGAATTGTTTGGAAGCTTAAGTCCGTAACAAAATTATTTTTTAGTAAGTACAATATTATAACAAAATTCATCAAAGATACACCATAGGCACCAGAACCACTACAACTTAATCTAGTGGTTCTCATGTCTAGAGCTTGTCACTCCAGGCTAAGCAGTGAAAACGCTGCCTTTTCCAAGGAATGGAAGTTTTCACATTGCTGCCTAAGTGCACCTCTAGCGGCAGTCACTCAGACAGCTACTAGAGGAACGTCCTGGGGTTGGTTCTACAAAGATCTCATTAAGATGCTGAAAGTTTCCCTTAGGAATGCATTGAATCAATGCATCTCTATGAGGAGATGCTGTTTGGCACAGGACAACAATTTGCCACTCATGCACACTAGCCTCCCAATACCTCCCTATGTGGGGAGGCGGGGGGGGGCCTCATTGAAACCGGCATGCCGGGGGAGTAAAGATACCTTTTTTGATGTGTTTTTTTTTTTTTAATTCACACATGGGGGGGAATAATCCAAATAATAACCAAAAACACATGGAGATACAAAAATATGTTACACAACAGCTAGGTGCAAACTATTGAGGCACTCCCTAATATGCCTAAATAAATCAATCTATGCAAGATACAGAATGCACACTATAACAGCTACGATTAATAGTACAAATCTTTTATTAGAACAATTGAAACAATCAATACATAAAAAGACAAAGCAACAAAAAAAGGCAAACAGTAAACCTCACAGTAATAACCTAAATCTCATAAGCCTCAAGACAGAAACACGAGCCACCCAACGTTTCGGCACCTACTGGCTGCCTTTGGCAAGCTGACACCCTTGATAAAGGCAGCCAGTAGTTGACGAAACTTTCGGTGGATTAGTGGCTCGTGTTTCTTTCTTAAGGCTTATGAGATTTAGGTTATTACTGTGAGGTCTTTTTATGTATTGATTGTTTCAGTTGTTCTAATAAAAGATTTGTACTATTAATCGTAGCTGTTAAAATGTGCATTCTGTATCTTGTATAGGGAATAATCCGAATAACACCATATAACACTATAGTGTCAGGAATACATGTTCGTGTGTTCCTTTAACAGGGAGAGAAAAGTAGAGAGAAGATATACCGTTTCTGCTCACAGAAAAATGTATTGTGTCACCGATGCCAAAAGCAGACACAAACCCTGGAAAGTAATTGTTCGCGTTCAGTAACGTTGGGATTGCTACAGATGTTATTAGCTTTGAGTGGAAAAAAAGAATCATTAAGGAGTTAACGACTGGAATTGGGAGAACACTGATATATCCCAGAAGGCTATTTAGAGTGATATTCAAACATTAAATCAGAAAATAGAGATGGGTAAGTGCCAGTAGGTTGAAAGGGAATGTATCATTATGTACAATCATACTTATGATTAAACATAACCTTATGTAGTCTAGTGTGACTTTCTGTTTCAAGCTCATGCCAATTTGAAAAGCATGCTGTGTATTTGACCTTTGTGTTCTTGGAATTAACGTTTAGCTGCGTTTACAGTTCTTATCACCCCAGTACTCAACAATAACTGTTCAGTTTTACTGTTTACAGTATTGCTAATGTAAGAAGCTGTAATATCTACTAATTACCACTGGTGTTGCAAATTACTTATTCTGATGTTTACAGGATAGAATTTCTAAGCAATGAAAACAGGCGCATTTTAAGCAACTAAATTCAACCTTTTACCACTTATTATCTCCCTCATGTGTCATAATGATAGCAGCAATTTTATTTGGAAATGGGGAGGGATGGCGCTCACAAAAACCTTATGCAAAGAAGGTTCGGGATCACCAATAATGGGAAAAAGACCAAATTCCTATCATTTGTTCGAATTCCAATCAGATTGCATTAGTCGTATCCTTTTTTTCCTCTATCTAGTTCAGCACAAATTAACTTTTTGGTTTTGTATGGTCACCAACATTTTTATAGTTGAAGGGACATTCTAAACCCTAGAACTACTACATTTTAAGTGGTAGTCTTTATTTAGGTTTATGAAATGTAGTAGTACATTTTGGAATAAAAAAGGCTAGGTAATGCTAATTTCCAGGGGTTAGGAGTTAGCTGAAGAAATCCACGGATAAGACATGTATTTACATTTTGTCACAAGAAACACCTTGATCAACTGTCACATCCTGGGCAGTGCACCAGGTTGCCAGACTAGTATCCAAATCTGATGTCAATGAAGTTGGTGATGAAGAAGTTGCAATGTTAAACTGTTGAGTGTGGGGGAAGAATAGGGTAGAGAAAAAAGCATAGGTAGGGAGGGAGGAGATTGTGGTAATAGTTTGGCACCTTTAAAAAACATTGTTCAGAAAATAGGCTATGTTGGTCCTCTCAATAAATAATTGAACAAAAGTCTTCTTATCATATTGTTTTGAGCTATCATTCAGACAGTCTGTGAATTACACTTTACCCATATATGTTCTTCTCATGCTGTCCACCATTGTACATTTAGAGCATGGGTCTGTCTCCAGGAGGCAATGATCAAAGTCTTAGCTACATTCAGCAAATGCTTGACATACAGGCCTTTTAGAGTTTACCCTGTAAATGGTTTTAGCAAAAGTGGGGTGCATAAATATTTAACCATATAAGAGAGTCAAGATTAGTGAAAAACAACTGTGGAATAATAATAGAAATGGATTGAAAGAGATTAAATCACCTTAGGAGGAAATTGATGTTTACGGTATGTACTGCACAACATTTTTTTTTCATTTCTATTTCATCTCTTTGAATTGTTATAGTTCCTGTGGTCCTCTTGCACTTTCCCTCAATTCAGTGGTATACCACTGCATTTATGGCTAAGGCAGATTTTATACACACTTCTTTCTAACCATATCAGTTCATGCCAGTCATGGGTGCTGTGATAGGCTGAAAGCGGTCAGCTAACACTCTCAGCCAATCACAGCTGCCTATTGCTGCTCAGCGTAATGCTTCCTTATTAGCACATGCAGCACAAAGGGGATGGACTACATTAAAACATTAAATATGGGTTCATTTTGAATTAAAGGATGGTGCCAGGGGACTCCAAATGCTATAACCACTTTAATGATATGAAGCAGTTACAGTGCGCACAGTGTCCCTTGAAGGTGTGATAGAAAATTAGTAAAAATGTATTATTCACAGAGTAAACTGCAAATTTCATAATTACGCAAATATATTAACACATTCGAACTATCTTAGCATGTTGGCACCTCAATGTGCTGTTTTCAAATGCTATTTATGCTAGTGCAGTTTTGTTTTCTATATAGCTTTTGACTATTAAATTGCAGATAAAAAGAAATGGATTGTGGCTTTTTTCACACACGTAATTTTTATAAAGCTTTTTATGTAGTTCATTTACTAACTAACCAAGTACTTACTTTTCTACACATCGGATGAAGGACGGCCTCACATATGCCTTTCCTTATTGGAATTACTTTGGAGTCATGCATTTTGGTTCAGGTAGAGGGCTATGTTAACATTCCCTACACATTCAATTCTTAAAAATTTTTTTTTTATAAAAGGGAATGAATTACAAATCCCCAATGTCAGCGAGTTGTAATACACTGTGTCATATACTTATATGTGTTTTTTAACAGTGCTGTAGGAGAGAACTGTGCTTTACCTTAACTGAAGGGGTTACTTTTAGGTGTAAAGCATGGGAAAGCAATGGACTGGTTGAGTTTATCAAGAATGACGACAAAGATGCAGTGTAGATGAAACTGGTAAATTAGGCAATTGGGCACTCAGGGAAATCTGACTCAGCTATCAATCCTGAAGGCTTCAGTAAATAGAGTAACAAACCTTAACTTTACCTTATCAAGGCTTAAAAGTTCTACATTACTGGCCAGGACTTAAATGTCACTCGTTACTGCAAGCCTAAAAGGGTCCATAGCACACTCACCAGTGGTGAATATCTTCTATATCTATATATTCATTTGCCAATGGCTAGTGGCGAGTGGCTTGTTTGAGCCCTGGCCTTATATTTTGCTGCAGCTATAGGTGATGACATCCCACATTAACATGTAAAATACATATATTAATTTTAGAATATGTCCTAGCCCCTGTTGAACTCGCTCCTCGTCTTTAGAGAGCATCCATCCTGATGATCTATGGTCCAGTTCAGCATTTCGCAAAAAAGAAGAATTTGAGACCTACTGTGCATGCACGGTAATGCTGTGTTTTCAGTTATTCTGTGTCAGAAGCATTCACAGTGCTCAGAGTCCTTAAACAGTGCTTGATGATGCAAAATATGAAGACATTCCATTATTGCAGGTCTTCAATGAGGAAGTACCCCTAGGTTGCTGTCATTAAGATAAAGTGACTTTGTTGGTTAGAGTGTCTATTTAAACACTTAAACGGAACAGAAGCAGGCAGCAGACAGCTTGAGGGTTTACTTTGTTTGGGGACATTTAAATGGCATGGTGTATTCACATTACGATGTTACCACAGACTTTGTTTTCTCTCTAATCACATTTTACCTCACCTTTAAAAAATGTATGTTATTTTTCTTATTCCCTAGACTTCGTAAGGTGGAAATTTTTAAAAGCTGACTAATATTTGTAACGCCTAAGAAGCTGTCTTCCATTTCATAAAAATAAGTAATTTCATAATATATATAGAATAAATTGAATCTAAAAACCAGACTGCGTAGTCAGTTAGTATTCTAAGCATGGTTATCTCCTTGTATCATTTTATTCTCATGCCCATATTTGCTCTTTGGCTTTATTGAATAGTTTGCACTAATGTAATACCCACATGCAACAATTTTGGATGATTTTAGTAGATTAACCCTTATTACCTCTACTGGCAGTCTCTTACCTAAATAAGCATTTACTGTGTCTGATAACATCCCTCTACTGTCAACCTTCTGAATAAAAAAAGAATCTCTTTCTAATCTGTAATTGTAATAACTGGTTAGTGTACTAAATTAAAAAAAACAAACATAATAGTTTTCATTGCAGGGTTGACTGCTTGTTTGTTGAATACTATAGTGTTCCTTTAATAGTCTGTCCCACCCCATTCATTTTACTATCAACCTGCAACCACATATTTACATGTTTCTTTAGGAAAGCCTTATTGGATATCTTATCAGTTTGTTCAATTATTTTGGCTGCATCTAGAGCTTCATTTGCATTTCTAATTCAGATAACAATAATTTCATTTAATTAGTACTGCTGAAATCAGCTCCTAAAACATTTGACATAGTGGCTCTTAACAAGACCCTTCACTTCTCTGGAAATATTCTTATCTGGAATAAAACTTTGAAAATAAACTGTGACTTTCCTTAAAGGGATGCTTCACTTCACAATTATTTCATTTAAAAATAATAAATTACCTTTTATTGAATGGGAAGCTACTTAGTGGCTTAGAACATCAGCTGACCGCACTAGCTAATCAGCGGCACCCCTGCCCTGCGGCACTCTACGTTTCATGAACCTCAGTATAAGAAGCTGGATGAGGCTGGGGGCCCGGGGATCTGGCACTGGAGGCAGTCTTTGGAGTTCAATCATTCAAGAATGGTTTAATCCCTTGAAGGCACCTGTCCTGCTGCAAACAACATATGCTCATTAGATTGAGCATATGATTTTATCTATACATTGTGCTAGAAGTTTTTCTAGTAAATGTAGAGATTATGAGAAAAACCTAAATAAAAATATTTCTCTCTCAGCTGTCAGTCAATGCATGGGGTGCCAAGGCATTGACTGACAAGGTAGAGCAGAAAAAAACTCCCACAGGAGGTCCCTCTGCTCTCCTCCCATAGCAACCACAGCGCATGCTTTGCCGATGTCACTGACAAGATTTAACCTGCTCGGGGGTGTGTCCCAAACAGGGCAAATCAAAGAAGAACACAGGCAGAGTGGAGGAGGAACGAGGATGGTCTAGAGGTAGGTATTACATGAAGAAAACCCACAAAACATTAAGATGAACGTGAAAAAATAAGTAAATTTTTATATTTTACATTGAATACATTATGTATCTTTGTAATAGATGGTGTATGCAATGTATATGGGAGCGATTTCAGGAAAGTTTATTTTTTCACAACAGGTTCACTTTAAGGTAAGAGACGACCTGCTGGCACCATAATAATTTCATTAAGATTACGTTATTATGCTGACCGGAGTGTTCCTTACAGCATGCATTTCAAAATTGTTTTACTATACTGGTAAGGTATATGTTTACATCAGTGGTTCCGAAACCAGTCCTTAAGACCCACCAACAGTCCAAGTTTGTCAGTATCTCTAATAGGAATATATAAATCCTGGATTGTTGTTGGGCCATGAGGACTGCTTTGGGAACCACTGGTCTACATTATAAAAAGCTTTAGCTGACTCTTGTACAAGTTCCGGGGCGATACTTACCCTAAATAAGCAAATCATCTTAGGAGGCATACAAGAGCATTAAATTGTAATAATTACGCCCTCGCAGCTCCCACGTATGCACCATGTGTATTAAATTATTTCATAGCTGTGCCACACATCCTGACATGTGATGTTAAATAAAAAAATAACAACTATTCATTATTTACAATGAAAATAAAACCATTTTACTTTTAGTTAGTTAGAATTTTAGCCCAGCTATTAAATTGTGCAATAGTGGGTGTATAGAAACCTCTTGGCTTCGTTAACATGTTTGTTGTATTTTATGTTCCTTTTTACCTCCAAACGAGTTATCTCCAAGAAACACATATAATCATTATGCACTTTTTAGTTTTTCATAAAGATATATTTAGGGACACAGGGCTGCTTTGTTTTACGGTACAAATCTAAGATTGTCAAAATGTCGAGCTCCCAACAGCCATTGTGGGATTCAAGCTTTGTGTATGGAGAACCCAATGGCTTTGCGTACAACACTGACATTGCTCCTGGAAACTGAAGCACCAGGAGCTGAAGAACACAGCAGAGACAGTAGCGTGAAGATGGTGGTAACCGTGAGGGAAGGCCTGAGGTAAGTAAAAGTGATCTCCACTACCACCAGTCCCACATCAGATCTGTCAGATTTTGAGGTCTTTTTCAAATTGGCAAAGACCCCAGAAATGGACAGTTTTCTTTTAAGTTCCATTAGGATGTTCTATTTTGGAAAAACTAACCAAGGTAACATGTCCATGTTAATGGAGGTAGAGCGGTAATACATTTAAAGGAACACTCTAAGTACCCTAACCACAATAGCACACTGTAGTGGTTCAAGAACTAGGGTTGCCCTAGTGCCCCAGCCAGTATATGGAATACAGTTTTAGAACAATTTGGGAACTCCTAGCACCATTTCCACTAAGTAGTGGTTATGCTTCTTGGACTGTTCCTTGAAAATAATTACCTAGAGGGTACAATATCCAGATTTTAGAAATGTATTTAGTAACAGTATAACATAAAGCAATTTACGATGATTTAGCACAGAATTCATTTTCTACTGGCCAGTGACTATGGAGAAAACATTAAGCCCTTTTATCAGGCAGTATGTATGACAGAGCTTAGCACGTGACAGAAAGTGAATTAAACAAATCTGACCTTTATCATGACACAAATTGTTAATTCCCCATTTTTAAAATTAAGTTTCATAGTAAATACATATTTCTAGGAGAAAGTGCAAACTGCATAGAGATGGATTTGTTATGTTTTCTGTTTGTAATCCTGGTCTTTATAAAATACTTTGTACTCCTTAGCTCCCAGTTTTTAAATCCTTTGGCATGTTTATTTGGAGTACTTTGGAGCAATGGTCATCAATAACTATTGAGCCAAATAAAGACTTGCAAAAGGTTATTGTATTTTAATCTGGTTTCATAACCAGATTTTAAACACAAAATAAGGCAAGGAAAATATGTGTGGCTCCGAACCAGCATGTGAATGTTCACAATATCTGTTTCTTTTGGTCATTAAAGTGGTGTATCTGACCTATTATTGTTATGGAATTATACTAATAATACAATTAATAAACTCTGCATACAAAACCAATTCAAAACAATAAATGATGAAAACAAAATTAATTTGAGATTGCACCTCCAGTTCCTCCACTGTCCAGCCGCAGCCATCGCAACACTTACCAACACACACTCACTGACAGACACACACACACATACTGACAGACGCACACACCCACACACAATCACTCTCTGACAGACACACACACTGACAGACACACACTGACAGACACACCAACTCACTCTCAGACAGACACACACACACACTCTATGACAGACACACACACACACTCACTCACTGACTGACAGACACAAACTCACTCACTGACAGACACACACACTGACAGACACACACTCTCTGACAGACACACACACTCACTCACTGATTGACTGACAGACACACACTCTCTCACTGACAGACACACACACTGACAGATACACACAGACACACACACTCTCTCTGACAGACACACACACACACACACACACACACTCACTCTCTGACAGACACACACACTCACTCACTGACAGACACTCACTTACTGACAGACACTCACTGACACACACACACACTAACAGACACACACACATTTACACATTCTTGCACACACTCACATCATTTTATTTATTGTCCCCTACTTTTGGGAGCTGGTGTGGTGCCTCTCCCTGGGGATATTCTCTAGGGAGGTCTCCTACCTCCTCCTCACTGCACCCTCACGCGTGCAGTTTAGTGATGCCGAGCCGGAATGACGCCATATTCCACACCCGGCATCACTGCAGATGGCGCGCGAGGGTGCAGTGAGAAGCAGGAAGACTAAGCCCCCTTGCTGCCGCCAGCGACCTCTCCTCCCTGGCTGGGGAAATTTGAGCAGAGTAGGCATCTGCAATGTGGAAAGAGCAGGTGCCTACTCTGCCTTAGAAAGCATGGCAAACTCGTGGCTCGCCGGGCCGCAAAGATATTCATTGTGGGCAGGGCCGGCCTTAAGCCTTCAGACGCCCTGTGCCAAACATCTTCGAATCGCCCTCCCTCTCCCGAGTCATCCATGTATTGTGTGTGTATAGAAGTGTAGTGATTGTATAGGAGGATTTATTAAATTAATAATAATTTAAAAATAAATATTCATTACACACAGATACACACACAGAGTTACACACAGACAATCACACACACACAGTTACAGGCAGACAATTACAAATACACACAGGTACAGATGGACAGTCACGTACATACAGCCACATATACAGTATCACACACACACCGTTACATGCAGACAGCTATACACACACACAGAGGCAGACATTCACACACACACACAGGCAGACAGCCACACACACACACACACACACACACACACACAGACAGCCACACATACAGGCAGACAGACATACACATGCACACAGGCAGACAGCAACACACACACACACAGGCAGACAGCCACACACACAAGCAGACAGCCACACACGCACAGGCAGAGAGCCACACACAGACACAGGTAGAGAGCCACACACGCACACAGGCAGAGAGCCACACACACAGGCAGACAGCCACACACACACACACACACACACACACACACACACACACACAGGCAGACAGTCACTCACACACAGAGGAAGACAGTCACTCACACACACACACACACAGAGGAAGACAGTCACACACACACACACACACACAGACAGTCACACATAGTTACCTCTATTCATTATATAGGAGGAAGTAGTGTAGCTCCTGGATTTTGGTTGTTGGGGAAGCAGGGACTCCATCCTGCTTCCCATGCAGCAATTACCCGGCATTCTAGCCCCGCCCTGATATCATTTAGCCCCGCCCCGCTGCTATCATGTCATGTTCTTTCAAAACTTGTGAAATTACCTTGTCAGGTGTTGGAGACTCCAATGGCAACATATTGTATACGCATGGTATGTACATACCACACATATGTAAACCATCAATAAAAGGATTTGTGAAGGCAATAGTCAGAGACATTGCTCAGATGACCTCAGGGGAAGTGTGCATGCGCCGAATGAGCTTTTCTATTGTTTAGTTTTTTTTCTTATAGCAACAACTTAGAAAGCTAGCTAGAGCGACCGTAAAGCCTCACCCAAATGGTGTTTCTGACTATTCTGCTCATATTATCTCTGTGATTACTGACACCTGGATGATAGAACTATTCCTTCGTACTTGGATAGGGCGTTATAACCCTTGACTCAGTCATGGAGATTTTGCTTTAGCAGGTGATGTTCTCCAAGTAAACCTAGTTCTTGATGTTGCTAATAAAATGCTAGATGAAAACAGTAGATTTCATGTCTGTTTTATTGTTATCTCATAAGTAGTTATGCCTGTACACAAATTTCAGATAATGTAACCAGGTGTTGATAGCGTGTCACAGATCTCAATCTCATACTGCAATCGTTTATACAGCCATAGCAGGTTTAACCAGAACACAACCAAAGATAGTAGAATAAGGTCCATGACTATACTTGTATAAGTTGGGCCCATTCACCATCCTTATAATAAGAGTGTGTGTGTGTGTGTGTGTGTGTGCGTGTGGAGAGGGGGGGTATGTTGTAGTGTGTGAAAGCCTACAGGGTTATAAAGCACATAAATATACATTCACCAAGGGAAATGCCCTGGCTTAAGATTTTTTCAGTGTGCATGTGTGTGTACTACTGTGTGTCCAGATGTTGTATAATACTCACACCAAAAAATCTGACACCAAAGCACAATGGAAGTTGCTGTTATACAGGTGATTTGGTGATTTACCTGTTTCAAATTTAAGGCCAGAGCTGCTGAACTGCAAGCTTGGTTTACTTAAAATGTTTTCCAGTTTGGCAATTTTGACTTTAAATTAAAAAATTCACTTTAAATTCACCTTGAATTCTCACCTTTGTGAATAAACCCATCAATGACGTCACATCTTATAAATAAAAACATACATTTACACAATGGATCAAATATAGAGGAATTTACAATGCTTGTTCAGAAAGAACACCCTAAAATATAAAAAAATAAAAAACAGTGTTTCATTCTCAGAAACTGCTATGTTTACATCTGGGGTTAAGCCAGCCTCTAGTGGCTGTCTTCCGGACAGCCCCTAGAGGCGCATCGGCAATGATTGAGGCATATTATGCCTCAATCACGCAGAGCGTCCATAGGAAAGCATTGAGAAATGCTTTCCCATGGACACTTTGAATGCGCGTGCTGCAGTGCTGCGCATGTGCATTCGGCGCAGGTGACGTCAGACAAGGATGCTGACGTCGGCAGGGGAGGAGAGGTAAAGGAGTCCGGCAGGGGAAAGGGTTTTAACCCCTTCAGCACCACGGGAGGGGGACCCTGAGGGTGGGGGCACCCTCAGGGTACTATCGTGTCAGGAAAACCAAGCGGTTTTCCTGACACTATAATGTCCCTTTAAAAATTTCCTTTGGGATACTGCAGATCAGATAAAGAGAGTCTACAGGAGCTATCTGCATAATGCTTGCATAAAGATCATTTGTATTAGTGTATATAATTTCTATATAGTAATCCCCCATGTAGAATAGTAATGAATAAAAATAAGTGCGAAATCAATCCAGTGTACATACACTCTTTACTGACAGAAAACATAACTATGAGGATTGCTCACAAGGCTCACTGTAAGAATCAGTTTGATACAGATTTCTCCATAGATTTGTTACCTATATTCTGCTAAAAGCAGGATTGTCACAACCCATTGGCTAACTAAAGCTTAGCTATGGATTGTGCTAGTTTGTTGTTGTTGTTTTTTAAAATCTGTACTGTTTATATATTTATAATGTACATACCTTGCACAGCGCTGTCTGCACAGGCATCACTGTTGATGGAATGCATGTTCTTGCATGCCATTTATCTGCAGACACCCAAGAAAGCAAGAGTGTATCTAGGAGCATCACAACACTCTGTGATATGTGATTGCACCATAATTACATTTACGTAATCGGCCTGTTGGTACACATAGCCCACAGTGGACTGTGCTGAAGGTACACTGATTGCAGACACAGTATGACTGCTATCAATTCATAGAGTGTAAATGTTCTTGGGGTATAAACTACTTATCCCATAAAACATCTGCTGTACATAAGGTGTATAGTATAGGAATACAACCCTTTGAATAATGGAGCATCTCTTTGGTGTGTTAAAGGCCTGTTTGTTGCTGAGGAAGAACCCACTCTATAGTGCATCTGCAGCTTTAAGAGTATATATATTTTTAAACTTAATTAGCATTATTTATGTAGGTGTGTATATATATCAGGGTTTACAATTTGAAGCCCTGTGCTACTAGCCAGGCCTTAAAAATTACTAACCACGGCAAGCATACTCACAAGGAATTAATTTCTACTCACCAGGGATAAATGATCATAATGGCTAGTGGCAAGTGGACATTTTGAGCGTGTATATATTGCCATAAAAAATGGGCGGCAAAAATGGGCGGCAAAGTACTATATAGCAGCCAGTTACAATATGGGATGTGCATCAGTGACAGCTTGACTTAAAGGGACATTGTAGTCACTCACGATACAGTGGTGTGTGCTGTTCCCCTGGCGTTTCAGTTCTGAAATGTAAAGCATTGCCGTTTTTAGAGAAACAAGAAACACAACTGTAAACACAACTGTAAACACAACTGTGGTAGCTGTCTCCTTGGCAGACACTAGATGCTGCTTCCATGTGCACAACCAAGTCAGGCATTGCACGAAGATCTCAAACATCTTATCTGCACAATGCCTGCAGCTCCAGTGCTTCTTATAGAAACACACTGGATTTAATGCATTTCTCTGAGAAGCACCTGATTGAAGGGATATACTTCTCATCCACATTGCCGCTCTATGAGAAGTATATTATTGGACAAAAAGTCAAAGAGGAGTCGGCTAGCAAGAAGGCGAGCCGGGAGCCGGAGCAGTGGTGCAGGGAAATGGGTAAGTAAAGTCAATTTGTACATATAAAAGGGGGGATCTGGAAGTCAAAACAAAGCCAAAAACAAATGTTTATATATAAAAACTAAACATTACTTCGTAAGAAATCGTTTCCTATTAATTGTGGAATTATATGAGAGAAAAAGAAAATAATAAAGAATAAATGAATAAAGGAAAAAGTAAAATAGGTAGGATAGAAATGAGATTGCAGGTGCGAGGAAAAATCCAGACCTTTTTCTTCATGTCAGATATAATTTTTTTACTTTATTGGCTTTAATGTTTTGGTCCTTGGAAAAGAAAGAATCTTAAAAAAAACTGATTCTGCATGATAGTATAATGGTGGTTGTGTGTAGATTTTACATCGGTGGTTCCCCTTGCCTTTAATGTACACCATATTTGCATGGCCCAGGAAACTGCTCATAATAATTTGATTACTGTAGCAGCTCTGACTGTTAAGACACCTCTAGTGTCTTTAAGAGAAACCGCCGTTTAGTTCACCTTCCCCTTTCGCAATATCAGTAATCCATTAGCATCAATTGTAATACACGAACCATAACCAGGGGAAGCGGTAATCTCCCGACCGGGATCCGTGAAAGGCTCCAAACTCCCGAACAGAAATCCACGAACTGCTGCTAGCCGCCGAACAACGATATCCACCAAGCGGCTTTCGATTCCAATCAGCAGTCTCTAAGCGCAATGAAGAAATCCCCCCAATAACGAGACAGAAGCTCCGCATTGAGGGTCAAACAGGATCTCGCTTTACTGTGGGCTACCTGCCCGTATTTATGCAGGTCTCCCACTTGGTGGACACTCCCCTAGGGGACCAAATGGGAGACTGGAATTACAGATGGACATGGGGACATTTCAGACATACAGTTACAGGTTTTTCCCACAATGCAATATGGTCTCCTCCCCTCTGCCCTGGAGATAATTGAGAAGTAATTCAATTATCTCCAGGACAAAGACAAATCGCCATCTTAGATATAAAACCAGAAAACACATAAAAATACATAATTTGAAAATAGCCGAACATTTCTTATTCACATCACATATCCCCAGATAGCCTGGATCTGAGTGCATATTATTGGCGAATAGCGCTCAGATCTCACACACATAGTTCAATCGCCATGGAGTCAAAGTTCTTACAGTCTTTCGGTATGCGAATGACTCCATGGGAAGGCTATCTGGGTTAAGTCTGTTCATGTGCTGTAAAACTCCCGAACGGCCGGTGTTCGTAAGTTTTCGTGGAGGCAGCCAGGCGTCCCGTTGTTTCAGCGGTGTTCGGCAGAAAAAGTGTCCGTTTTTAGTTCCATGAAAATAGAGCCGAACACCGCTGGGCTTTCGTGAGTTTTAAAATGGCTGCTGCCTCGTGGTCCGCATACGAACGACGACCACCCTGAATTCGGTTTAATTGAGAAATGTCTGCGGTTAACCACAACGTTCTAATTGGGATCAATAGGTTAACCAGCAGCACACTTCTCTCCTGGGTGGCCATCCGTTCGGTAGTTTTGTTCGGGAAAAACAGTCATTCGTATGGCTGGGCTATAGGAAACAGCCATTTACACGAAAGTGCAGGAAACAGACGAATCCACCACAATAATCAGACGAATCCACCACAATAGTCAGACGAATGGTTCTGTCACACTGACTTACTAAGGTTGATCTTATAAGACCAGGAATGGTCAAATTAATGCCTTTGGAAGATTTTGATTTAGATATATGATAGATGACAAATAGGTCACTGAGTTAGTTGCGCAGTTGAATATTGGGCTACCAAGCCAACATCATATACATGACGTTTAGTTGTCGGAAAAGATTAACAATCTGTGTGTTAAGTTTTGGCTATGATATGAAATAAGTTTGATCAGGATTGGACTTCAAAACTTTTTAACTAGCAAGCATTCTAAAGTAAGCCTTGTATGATAAGTTAAGAGCAACTGAGAATTCAATTCAATTTCTAGAAATTAAATACACATCGTTACACATTAAGCAAAAACAGAGAGTTCACATTGTAAGAGATTCAATGTGTATCACATTATTGGTCACTGTTCCATATTTTGTCATTTATCCTCAAAACTGTGTTTGTATTGTTTCCAGTACAAATAAAATATATATATAGAATACCTCCTAACAGTCCTGGATTTGGCAGGACTATGTTGATTTGGGGTCCCTGTCCACTTAAGAGGACACTGTAGGCACCCAGACTATGTGGTGCAGGGACACGTTCAGAGGTCTTGAGGAGTTCATCATTGATGCCTCGACAGTCCATGCCTCAACGGTTTTAATGTTGTGGCTGATCATTATGTGTGTATGTGTATATATGACTGGACCTGGTTGTATTACTGTAGTCTGTTGGTACACTTTAATAAAAGTATCCAGTACAATTGTATGACATTCTATATATTTGTTATATACTACATATAATTTCATAGAAATACTTAATCCATGTCTAAACACTGATGTTTCATGAGACATATGTATTGTCCTAATGAATAAGTATATATTATTGTACTCCTGGTTGTCTTTAGTCAGTAGAAGATATGGACCATGCCACTTAGCATCTATGTATGGAGCTACTGGTTATACATATATAATGCTTTCATATTATGTATGTATATACATTCTTAGTGAGATTGATTTTACAAAATATTTCAGTCTCACACCAATTATTTTATTGTCACTTTCCCCAATTGTACAGCGCAGCAGAATATGTTGGTGCTTTATAAATGCCAGATAATAATTATTTCTATTGTGTTTAGATCTGATATGACAGAATATCACTGATTTAACATAGAGCATCACTCATCCAGAGAGTTCATTTTTCTCCAAAGTGTTCTGTTCTAAAATCTAGATCTGACAAAACCTTATTGACAGGTGACGAGGTTTATTTAAAAACAGAAAATGGTATAGATAAAAGTACATTCGTTCATATTGGTTCCTGAAGGTGTACAGGCAACATCTAATAGACTCTACCGCCTGGGAACACAAAACAAAATTAAATGTAATAAAATTGATTCCCCTCAGACTCTGTTGTAATAGTAGCAGATTGGAAAACAGTGTAAGGATTTGTACTGTACAAATATGTAATTGTATTCGTATAATGTTTACATGCATTTTTCACTATAGACGTGTTTTTATTATTTGTAATAAAAATGACATAAAAAGACGTTGCAGTTCAAACAGTACAATTTCAGCTGAGTTCCTTTTTATACTTTATTGATTAATCTTTGGCATGTGGCTATATTTTACAATGGATTTTCAGAGTGCATTGATTGGTTCTGTTTGAAACTCTGGAATGAATTGTAGCAACCTGTTCAATTAAAGAAAAGAGTCTGGTCCCGAGGAGACAATACATATTTTTAGACTGTGTGCGAAAATATCACATGGCTCGACTTTTGCAGAATAGATTTAAGCATGTCCTAGATAAAGCAAAGAAAAAAATACTCTCTCTGCTAAGGTCAAGGTCGGACAAGCAGAAATATTAACTTTGCCTTGGTGTAAGGCAAATGGTTACTGAATTACTGTAGCAAGCCATAAAATCACAATATAATCAGCCTTCCTAACCTATAAAATGATGGAAAAACATTTAATTGTGTGGTAATTGTTGGGCTCCTAAATGATATCGAATGGGACTTGTAACTCATAAATCTGTAACTGAGGAGAGAGATTCAGAAAAATATACGGTAAGCCAACCCCCTAAAAAATATTTAAAAAAATAAAAATACAGTTTTTATTACATTACAGAGCTATCAGGTTTTTTTTTGTTTTTTTTTAAATATATCAGATCATCATGTATTCATATATGTATTTTTGGTTAATATTAATGATAGATTCTTATTCTTTTTACTATGGTTGGAAGAAGTTCGATTTGTTGCTGTCTTTTTCTGTATCGTATCATTTAGAACATAATATGCAGTTTTTTCATGTCTTCTTGATTGGAATTCTTTTTTTCTTTGTATGCCCAACTCAAAGAATATTAATAATAAAAAAATGTTTCAAACTAAAGTCCTGAGTACTATGCCAATGTTCCGGGCTGGCTAATGACATTCACCTCTGGCAACAAAGCACATTTTCTCTGTATTTGCAGAAGTTTGTAATGAAACACTGCATGTACAGACTCCAAGCACTGTGAGCACTTAAAATTACTGAAGTGGTAAAGGTGCTTGGAGTAAGCCTGATTTCTAAAATGGCTACAACCAATTACAAGCTTGTCCTGCTGCTTATTTAGCTGTGTTGTGTGATTCATTCCAGTAATCTAATGGCACAAGAAAAACATTTATGCCACTCAAAATATAAATGTTGTCACAGGTTACAAAACTTGCTTGAAACGTCCAAATAGCAAAATTGCAAGAACTTTATTCTAATGCTTTCTATGTTATTACGGACACTGAGGTAGTAGCTTGATTAAAGCCTCTTTGTAGGCCAAAACTTTGCACTTTTTGTTCCAATAAACCTGTCTTCTTGCAGCAATCCTGAATGCCTGGACCTAATTTATTTTTTCAATTTCATTACTGACCGATTGCATAAAACATTGTGGTATGTATTGACAATGTAGCAGAAGCCTCATTTTGTTGCTTCTGCCACAGTCATGTAGTTAACCTTTCTAATGTGGAGGAAATAAACAAATATTGTAATTAACAATCACTGAATGAAATAGTGCTTATTACATTGCTGGTGCTTATTAAATTAGTTTAAATTAATTTTAGCTAATTTCAGCTATTATAAGTATAGTTCCTGTTTGTTTTGGTTACTATTTGAAATGCTGTCTAAGACAGTCTAGGGAATTAAACTAGGTCTAAGTTGATCCATTGCTTATTGTGTCTATTCTAGGTAAATGTCTTTAATGATCATGAGTCACTGTGTTAATTATAGTGAAGAAAACGCGTTGGCATTTTATGTTGGGAATTGACTTCAGGGCTGAGATTAGCCTTAAGTGCCAGTTTTCCCTTTGCTATAGTTGCAGAGGTCCAAAATATGGTAACTTGATTGTAAAGTGACATTAATATATGTAACGCCATATACATTCTACAGTAAGCTTATCTCACACTGCTAATCAAATACTCACCTTGGTATTAAAATCAAGGAGACACCCATCATTTATATTCTAATAATGCGCAGTGGTTGCTATGGTAACTCTCAAGCAGGCACTGCTAGTGCTGTCTATGGAGTGTAGGAACAGAATGATGTATGTCACTGCATTCATTTACTGGCAATGAAGCCAGTGTGTTGGCTTCATGAAGGAGATGTGCCTTGCTTGGGGAAGTGTCCCCAAGCAGGTCAAATCAGTGAACACTGCGGGAGGAGCAGAGGACAGACCGGAGGTGGTTTTAACAGAAGTGTAACACCCACCTCTTTAATAAGATTGAAGTGGGGTAGTGGAGGCTCAGGTAAGTCCGTACACATTCCCTTTAAAGGGAGTTATGCTGGATGGGTGTTTTTTTATTATTAATTTTATTTTATAAACCCATGCTTTTTGCTCTTTTCTCCCAGCTTGCTGTATATGATGTCATTACTGTCTCTAGTAGAAAGCAGACAATTAAAATACAATACAGAAACACCAAAACGTCTTGGTTTATTTAAAGTTGCTGAATCGGCAGTGCCTGGGGATTTGCTCCACATGTTCAAATTTCAACTGTGAGGGTTTTTTAAAAAAATGTTTATATGTATTTTTGTAGATATTTTAATGCTTCACCTATGCACTCCGTTATAAAATTCCAACCTGGAATATTCCTTTAAACATCTGATACAAAGAGTGCCAGTTTAATCTACTAGGGGAAAAGTATAACCACTTTATACTTTGAAGGGAGGATGATCCGGTGAACTGGACCTGGAGCAAATCCACATGCAACGTACAACGTACAGAGAGGGATTACTAACGTCCAAACGGATAGAGGAATCCCCTGCTTCAACTGTATTTGGTGAGATCCTACCAACTTTTTAAAAATTTTTTCTTTTTTTCTTTTTGAGTACTCAGAAGAACTTACATATAGAGACTCTTTTTTTGCAGATTTTTTCCACATTTTTTTGTTTCCTGCAGTATTTAATTATTTTTTGTCTTTTCTAGAGACTCTGCTACCATTTTAGGCAGGACTAACTATATTCCTTATAATTAGTACGGAGTATGGTAGGATGTAACACAAGCATATTTTGCTTAACTTTAAGCCATAATATGCCCAGGATCCAGGTTTGATGAACTCTCTAAACAATTTTTTGATTAATTTGTTCTGATTTTTTTGCATATTTTTTCATGATCAAGTTTTTCGGATGAACTATTGGTGTTTTTTTTTTGATCTATATATATGATGTACAGAATATGAACTCCACTTGTACAGTCAATAGTGTATATAATATGAAATCAGGTTTTTCGGATCAATGAAATATTTGTGCATATAGATGAATTGATGCACTAATTAATTGCCCTCAATATTTTTTGTTTACACTATCCATTAAATACTTTTTGATTCTTTGAGCAACATTTTGGAGTGTGGTATCATTCCTTTTTTTGTATAAAAAGTATAATCACTGCCTGCTGCTTTTAGAGTTATGAAGTATACTTTTTAATCAAAGGAACAGTATAGTGTTATGAATACAAAACTGTATTCCGAACACTATATTGCCCTTCTGCCCGTGTGTCCCCCAGGCAGATAATGGCTTACATAAACCTTATACCACTTACTTGGTTCCACTGCTGATGTCCCTCAGCGCTGGGTCGGACTCCTCCTTTGCTGATGTCAGCTGATGGAGGGAACGTAAAGCGCCCCGCGCTCATTAGGCCTTCCCAGTAGAAAAGCATTGACCCAGTGCTTTTTTTATAGGACATTTGAAGACACTGGACATCCTTTTGCAAACCGTGAGGACATCTAGCATTGTTTCACTGAGTCAAGCTCTGTGTAAATGCAGGAAGCGCCTCTAGTGGCTGTCTGGTATACAGCCTCTTGAGACAGTATCAACTCTGCATGGTAAACATTTTTCTAAAACTGCAATACTTTACATTGCAGGGTTAAGGGAACAGGCACGGTCACCCTGATCACTTCAAGGAGATTAAGTGGTCTGGGTGCCTGTAGTGTCCCTTTTAATGTATCTTTTGGATATTTCAGTAGAATAAAAATATGACCCTCCTGAAAATAAACATAAAATCAAGGTTCTTCATTCAGTTTCCACTAAACTACTACTGAAAATGGCTTTACTGTAATACCTATCTCTTATTCTGCACTCTTCACAAAACTATTTATTCAGTGAAAAATGCATACAGGCGATTGTGCCCATTTTCAAACAGGCAAATAAAAGAGAACCATCTAAATAATCAGCAGACATACGGCTTGACTCTTCCATGGCAGTTGTAGTTAAATCTTGTGATAAAGCGCTCAGTGTTTGCAGATGTTTATCATGTGAAATGTTGCTTCTTGGCAGCATATCCCGCACAAGGAAAAAGAACTTCTAATAGGTTTATATCAGACAAGATTTGAGGGAGCTGCAGACTCAAAAGCAAGTGTGTAATAGATAGAGTATTTAATGTTATCAAACTAGGGTATGAACAGTGAAGATTGCGGCCTCCCACAGATTCTGTATTCTACCGACTGCATGGAGAACTATTTTCATTGTACTAAAATAATAAATGCATCTCTTTCTGTCCATTCTCCAAAAGCATAAAAGGTACAATGCAGGCTGGAATTGACCCAAATATGCGTTTAAAATAGATGCAAAAAATAAGCTAATAAAATGTAGAACAAAATTAGTTCTTTGTTACAAAATTGAAGCATGTCTAAGAACCAGTAAGTGGCTCACAAATCTCAGCTAATCAAAACTCCATATTTTTGTCTTAGTAAATCCACTGTAAAAGCCGTGCATTTTATAAATTGCTGTTCAGTATGTGAATGATAGTATAGTATACTTGGCTTGCAGTTTAAATCTCTTTTTATATTTATGCGATAGCATTAAACTTTGTACTACAGGAGACCTTTTACGACAGTATTTTGATAATCGTGTTCAAGGGCAATGCATGTAAAACACATACAATAAGTCATGGCCAAGAATGTTTATTTATTAACACTATAAAGAAAAAGCTGTTTTAATAAAAAATATAATAAAATAGATAAAATATATGTTTACTTTCCAGATCAAGGAAAGTAGTCCTGCAAGCGATAATTTTTAATAACTTTGGACTAAATATTTAGACATCTATTAAACATCACAATATGGACTAAGAAATGCCTCAGAAAGCACTGACCATGTTTTTTTTGTTTTTTTTAAGGAAAAGGTTAATTAGTAAAATGGCAAACTTAGAGTTCCCAATTTTGCAGAGTCATGATATTTGAGTTGCTGTATTAATCCAGTAATTTAGATAAAAAATAATGAAGTATCAGGTCTCCAAACAGTGCTGCTTTTCGGTGGGACAATCCAAATTTCAGGACACTGTCCCACTTTAATTCTGTTGTCCAGAACCTGGGGAAACCAGGGAAGTGTTCCAGAGCAGCACAGCAGGAACCCACCATTAGATGCGCTAGTGCTGTGCAGAGGCCACGAGGACCATGCGGGGAGTGCTAGCTGCATGGTTCTGAACCTTGGGGGACACAATCATCATTACTGTTGACGCCCCTCAAGTTCTCCCCCAAGTCCCCACACTGTGCTGATTCCACAGGCCTGATTTTTTGCAGTTTCTTTTAATATCTTTTTATGGTAATGACAGAAATATTTCTGTCAAACTAATAAAAAAGGTACTGACAAAACTGCAATGCCTAATTATTTCATAATTTTACCTATTCAGGGTTTTACCCATGAAGCATTATATATTTAGAATCTGTCACAGCTTAGATAATGCCATTGTCTTGTCTACTGAAGGTGTTGAAACCATGTGTTAATTAGAATGATGAAGAACACACAAAGCATATCTGCTATATCCAACAATATCTCACATTTAGCCAGAACTAGAACACAGCAGGAATGTTTTCAGGGATCATAGCCGAGTTATGAAACAGTTCTTGGAAAATTCCCATTGGCAGCCATTATTAACAGGTCCTTAACAAATATTATTTAACATGAGTAGTTCTCAGCAATCTAAATACTCTGGAGAAACTTTCAGTGAAATATGATTTTCAGTTATTTCTGCATATTTATGTTAAAGTCTCAGTAACAAAACATTCCTTTTATGTATTCTTGTCACAAGTCTCACTGTGAAATAAATCCTCCTAATGTTCCTTTCGTTGAAGTATTGACGTAAAAACATTTTAGTCGCAGTCTTTTATAACGTTTGAATTGGCCAGCGGAGGACTTATGTTGTAGAGAAAAGGGTACCTTGTGATAATATAAATGAAAGGATTTTTTTTTTTTTTTAACTATTAATGTTAAAGAGCATTTTTTGGTTGAAAATCTTTATTTTGTTGTGCAAGATATAACATGGGACTTGCAATGCCACGACAGCTAGGGCAAGCTCAGCAAGACATATAGTTAGATGGTTACAGGGGATTTGAGTATCTTGGCACATTTTTATATTAACATAAGAAAACAGGTTAGAGATACATGTCTGCTATAAATCAGATATTTAAGACATGCATGGTACTCTCTATGAGTGATATTGCTAATACAGCATGGCTACAAGGAAGATATGTATAGATATCCATTGGGACTAGATTAACTATTGGGCTGCAGTAAGTTACATGCTAGTAGACACAGGCTAAACACTACATCAAAGTGTGCTATAATCATCAGTGGGGTTAGGCTTATTAGTAGATAGTAGAGTGAAATAAAAGATAAAAAGACAATAGGTCTAACTAAAACAAAAGGAAGGTTATGTGTGTCAAGAGATGTTTGCTGATTTCACTGTGGCCCAGCTGAATTGTAGGACATCCCTCAGCATAAGTTTGGTTGTCAGCCGACTCCTGTATATGGCAGTCCCATGGAGACTGATTATTTCCTGTTGCCAGCAGAGTATGGATCCGCAAGGCCACTGCCCCATGTGGCTTCGGCCCAAGGCCTAAGGGGGAGCCCGAGCCTTAGGTCCATTGATCCTGTCATTAGGATCGTGGGACATGGGTGTTCCAGAATTCAAACGGCCTTCTGGGTGTGTGGACGGCAGTGAGGGGTTACCTCCGGATGGGCCCCCATGCTCGGAAGAGGAGAGGTTGTTGAGGACAGCAGCACCGCTTTTCTGTTTGGCTGGAGGTGTAATCAGGTGTTGGCTATGCTCCAAGTTGGCCCCCGGCCTGGGTGGAGGAGAGACATCCAGGCTATCGGTGTGGGGTGTCAGATCAGCAGGAGATGGAGACTTCCGGGATTGGTCGCGCAGTCGGCGCCAAAATCTCAGACAGATCGCATAAAATCTGTCATTCAATGATTTAAGCCACTCCTGGGTTCTGAGGTCTGGTCGTGGTTGCAGTATCTCCAGTTCTGTGGCCATTTTAAGCTTGCCTCGTGGGTCTTGTGTCTGCCTACAGTTCATAGCCTAAAAGTGATACCGGAGAAACTGACGGAAGCAAAGCACAGAGGGATGGACACAGGTTTCTTCAGGAAGGAAGAGATTCTTTATTGGATCACCGATCGGGACACAGAGGGACTAATGTCACCAAAAATACAGCAAGTTCTGAGCCCTGAACAATAGTGCAGGCTCCCTATATAGGCACATAACTCCTCCCATTAATAGCTACACCCACATATACCTTCAACCAATCAATGAGCAGAATATAGACTTGTACATCTAGTCAAACCACATGGCCCATCCAAGACAAAGGAAATAAGTGCAATTTCAGTTCCTGCATTCCTGCACATGCTCAGTACACTGATGACAGTATCCTAGCTACATGTAGCTAACCAACTGACACAACATACACATATGCCAAATGGAGATTTTGGCCTACTAAATTTTAACCATGCTGGAATCCCATCACATTCCCCCCTTTGATGCCTCTTGATATTTTACAATTACTTGAGGCATCACTTAACCTTGGTTTGCATACACCACAAGTTACCTTTGAACCAGACCAGACTTATCCTATGATGTGAATCTTCAACACTCGTCTTCCTGCATTGGTTCTCCCTTATATTTATAAATTGCCATTATCTGTGCAGCAGCCTTCCTCTCTGCTATATTTTCTATCAGGCTTTGCACAGACCTAACTACTAAGGGTATAAGACACGGCAGGAGTAGACACAACATTAAAATCAGTAGGACTCCACCTACCACTGCCTTAAACCCTCCAAACCACTCATACCAGCTACCAAACCAACTACTTGGATTGTACCCTTTCCATACCTGAGTAGGCACATGCGCTAGTTTAACCATATGGCTAGTAAGCTCAGCTATTGCTTGCCCTTCGTCATCTATTTGAAGACAGCAATTGCTCAGGTTAAACTTTCCACATACACCTCCCTCTACTGCCAAAAGATAATCCAAGGCTAATCTATTTTGGTAAACTGCTGTCCTCATCCTGGTATTATGCTTCGCTAGAAGATTGGGCGCTTGTGATGTCTCGTTAGTAATGATCTCAACCACCGCCTGTAACCTTATAATGCGGTTGAGCATATAAATAGGGGTTCTATAACCAAAGGTACCATCCTCTGCCCACGTGGCTGGCCCATAATAATCTATAATACGCTGGGAAGGCCATTCATTATCTTCCCTATCTCTATGGGTCCCCTTTTCTTCCTATGATTCACATCATACACTTTAACACCTAAAGTCTCACCTGTTTCAATAGGCAACAAGAAGAAAGATGGCTTTGGCATACCTAATACACATGCCCCTTCCCAATCTTGTGGTAACTCCGAATAAGTTTTCTTACCACAAATCCAGTGTAAATTTGCTGGGGCTTTCCAGTTAGATGTGATGGATAGATCAAACCATATGTCCTTTAAATTGGCATATCTTGCAAACGGGTTAGATGGTTCTGAGACATTTGAAGCTGACCACCAAGTAGTATTTTTAGTATTAACATTATAGGCTTTTTGTCCCAAGCACGTTAGCTCACCTACAGACGTGTTATACATTGTCCCTTTCCTGGCTATACAAACATGACCTATAATGGAGGTTTTTAACCACCATTCCAATTTACTTCTAGTACTTACTTGATGATCAGACTGGGAAGGTATCTGTTGTTCATATGTCTCAGAGCCAGGGTACCATATTTCCTTTGCCTCCCATGGCCACTGGTCTCCCATATTAGTACCTCCACACACATAGCAATTAGTTACATTAAGACTACCTGCAATACCCTCAGCCAAATCAATAAATAGGTTGTTAACATTATGGGGAATTTTATCCTCAATACTCCTCTCCTCATAGAAGGAATGAGAAACCTGATGAGTTTGAGTTGCCACTGTCTCAGTTTCAAGACCTACATATATTATTGTTCCTGAATCTACTCCTGTGCCATATATTTGGACCCAAACAGACCTCCAAACCTGTCAATAAAGTACTGCAGATTGGAAATGGTCATGTGAACGGGGTTACACACATAGTTTTACAGTATGGTGTGGTAGGCAACCTTTGGATAATCATATCTTGATCCACTGTTTTTCCCAGGTTGCCCAACCTACACATGACCAATAGGGGCAGAAGTTAGTCTCTATTTGGGTAATCAGGATCAGTAGATCTTTTACTGGGACATAAGTATTTATCATTAAACCCGTAAGTTCGTTCCCATTTAAGATTACCACATACATTCCAAAGTCTTCCACTACCCGAAATCGCCTTACATGCATCAAATAGTAGAATACCCGCGGAATGTATGGTGCTTATCACAGTCCTATTTAGTAATGTCCCCTGGGAGTTAGTATTCCGAATTACCAACCAAATTGTACGGGGTTGGAAATGGGGATCAAAACATTTAGACTCTCCTGATATTGGCTTGCACACACTATAATCAATATCCAAATATCTACATTTAGATACAGATCCCTTACATTCATACTGTGAGTGCCAGATGAAAGTTTGGGATATTTTGGTTACCTGTTTTAGTAGTCTTAATGCAACTATCACAATTCGGTATGTCTATACTCCTACCTTCCTGAAAAATCATAAAAATACTAAGACACAATAAAACACATTATTCCTGAAATCCTCATTTTTCTTCGACCGTACGATGGCCTCTCAGCTTCCCGATTGTGAGGGCTGCAAGGATGTTGTTCTTCTGATCCTCACTTTCCTTCACAGAGATCCCTTCAAGATACTCTGGCTATAACACGTAGGCAGGTGGTCAGGCTTTATTATGGCCGTCAAAACACCTACTTGATGATCTTTGTAGACTTTTAACTAGAATGTCTCGATATCCCCTCGTCACTCCGACTAAGTTGCACGCTTCAACCGGGTCCTGCAAGGATTCTCAGGATCTGGAGTAACTTGCTAAGAGTCTGCTGCTGGTTTAACCTTAGAATGATGAATCCAAGGAGTCACTTCCGCCACCTTTACAGCTGTTGGGGTAGATAAAAGAACAACATACAAAGGCTAACAGGATACACCCCGAACTTTAACTCAATATGTATTGGTGGGATATTACGAGCAAGTCCTGGAGGATTATTTTCTTCCCATACTCCTGGAATGTCAAGTAAGGATTCATCACTCTTAGGGTTAACACTTGTTACTATGGAATAGAAGCGTCATTCTTCTTCCCTTGGCACCGATATCACCATTATGCCTGGTAATCCCTTAAACTTCAGAGATGTTAATCCATTAGGTAAAAGGTTATCTGAGTTTAAAGCTTCGATAATAGATCTCGTCCTAAAAGTTGAATTGGACACTCTGGCATATATAGGAACTAATGCTTCACCACAGAATGTTCAGCACCTGTGTCGATCATGAAAGAACTTCTCTTTCCCCCTATTGCTACATCGACCATAGGCTACGCTCGACCAAGTGGGATGGAGCCCAGTCGGTATCAATAGTCTTCCATGATAGTGTCAGCCAGACCCACAAAATCTCTATCCTCTCTTTCTCTAGGTCTCTGCGTGGGTGGATAGTATCTGTCTCCTTGAACACTTCCTCTACTATTCCAATCATTCCCTCTAAAACTTCCTCTTACTCTATAACTACCACTATAACCTCCTCATACCCTTCTCTCTCCTTGTCTATCACCTTCATACTGCTCTCTCTGTGGACACTCACTCTTCCAATGTCCCTCCTTTCTACAATACGCACATTAATTCCTACTTAAAGTCCCTTGCTCAGCCTATTCTCGTCTCCTCTATTCACTTCCCTGTCTTTCTACACTTAAGATAGCTACCGCTAGCATATCTGCCTTTTTCCTCATTTTACGTTCTTCCTCCATCTCCCTATTCATATATACTGTATTTGCAATCTCCATTAGCTGTATTATGGACATCCCTACAAATCCCTCTAATTTTCTTTAATTTCCTTTTACTATCACCTTGGGCCTGGCTGACAAATGCTGAGTCTATCATTCGGAAGTTTTCAGGGGCCTCTGGATTAAAGGGAGTATACAACCTATTTGACTCAAGCAGTGTCTAATATGGGACTTCGGCAAGGCTGCCCAATAATAGGTTCCAGTCTAGGAGTAGTAAGATAATTTTATTAGTCAGCATTTGGTGGATGAAAAAACGTTTTTTGTTTAAAGTGTTAAACCAAAAACCTACCAGTAGGTGTCACCAGAGGGTAATTGTATCAAAATAATCTTTATGGGTCTAATAAGAAAACTCAACTTTTAATATATTTATACATAAAATAAAACCTTATAGCAATAAATATATTAAAATAGGGTAAGCAATCCTACATCTATCTGTTATAAACAATGTATTATCAATGTAACTCCCGAAGATGGCCAGTAGGTGGCTTAGAGTGCCTCCCTAAAGTCAAATGAAACAAATAGACTTTAATTAATTATGTCCTATTTTATTATTACTTATTTTAATCAATGTCCACCCTGCTAGCTAGGTTTGATTAAATCTTTAGTTCTAAGGTAAATTAAACATTTCAGTTTGTAGTTTAGTAAAAGGGGACATTTTGGACAAAGCTGGGAGGGGCCCATCCAGTAACTAAAAAAACCAATATACCATTTGATACCATTGATCATTGATTAGGGGGAGGGGTAGTACAGAAATACAAGAGTTTGAAACACAGGAACAGATAGGTATGTGGGTAGGCGGGGACAGTAGAGCAGGGAGAGTGCAAATACTGATTATACCAGCCAGAAATGGGCGTGGCTAATCTGGCTCTGGAGGATGTTTGGGGGGTTGGTAATCAGATGCCAGGGGGGGGAGGGGATGTCCAAAGCAGTTGTAATTAAGTCCTTAGTTCTGACCACCATATGGCTACATTGTTTCTCATATGACACAGTTTAATTCACCAAGGCAGTTTTTCAACAAATCAGTTTCCAACAGTCAATATATAGAAACTGATCATAGAATTCCAGCCTACTAGTTACAGCCACATGTACACCCTGCACTAAATTTAAGTGAAGACTGCTACATGGAGGCCATGCGGCCACCAGG